ACCCTGCATAAGAGCACAGAGGGGCGGCTGCATGCGGGGCACTAGTTGGTCTTGCTGTCGCCGAGCCACCTGTCCGAAGTCACAGGGTTGAGGCAGAACAAACGAAAGATCCCATGCCTAGATTCCTAGATTAAAGGCCTTGTGGAATCCAGTCTGCAACAATCCACAATCGTGTACCTCGCGAGAATCGGAAAAATCTTCATGGATCTAGCTGAAACCGTGCCGGGGCACCATCCACTCGAACCAGGGACCGGGTGCCTCTGGCACCGAATCGCAGCCCACCTGGGCAACGACACTTACAAAGATCAGCCCGAAAGAACCTATCAACCTACAATCCCGGGATTCTGTATGCTCAGTTCCTCACCCTTCTAAATTCACAAGGGAGGACATCATCGCCACATCGCCAGGATCCTGTGCCCAGAAAGAGCCCAGGCAAAATGCGACCATAAGACAGCTCGAAGAACGAATTGATTGGAATCGGATCTTTTTGCACCGGCTTTCGCTCTTGGAATCCACAGCTGCCACAGCTAGAACATTTCTGGCAGATCGGATCCTAGCAGCTCCTACGTATCTTGTAGCTTTGTTTGCAGCTGAAATTATACGATCCTGATCAGCACAACAGCCTTTCCCTACCCCTCAGCTTCAGATTTCATCACCTTGTCCGGCGTCTGCACTTCTCCACTGATTCCTAAGTTCAGTGCTCATCTCATGATTGAAACTGAACCCATAATCGAGGTACCCAAGCCCAATGGAAGCCCAGGGTCTCATTGCTGCTTGGGCTTCCCAGAACTTCTTGGCCAACTCTCGCACCGAACCACCCTTCCGGTAGTTTTCGCAGATCATGGACACCTCCTCAATCGTGAGAATGTCCTCACAAGTATCGGACTAGAGAGGGTTAGGGATGAGCTTCAGGCAGCAATGTTGTCTAGTGCATGGTGGCGGCGTGAGGAGTGGCTTTGTCCGGCCACAAAACAGACTGCACCTGGTGGAACCACGGCAAAGGCATCTCGTGAAGTCCTAATGCACAAGGGAAGCAGAGTGCATCTGAACATAGCCATGCATTCGGAATTGAACTGTCCTTGAGATTTCAAGGTCTCGAATGCTCCCGGAGGAAGCTCCATGAGCTCAAATAAATACCGCCAAACTTGAGCCCAACACTATTGATCGTTCAAAGCTTCAGCTCAACCNNTGCAATGCTTCAATGCACAACTGAATGCAGAATGGCGGGGGTCGCACCTCAAAGAGCCGTCGGAGCTCGGAGTGCGAACAGCAAACAGCTGCAAACACGGATTTGGACAAATCAGCCTCCGAATGTACATTCCCGCCGTGGCCCGCTTAAACCCGCCTGACCCCCAGGAGAAACCCCTTTGTCCGGGTGCGGCTGAAATTCTCGCCCCAAGGGTTTTACAGGTATGTATATGTATGCAGATGTATGTACATGTGTATGTGCATATATATATATATATGCGTGTACGTATACATGTTCTGATACTTATACATGTATATATATATATACACACATACATATACGTGTATACAAAAGTATATGAACATGTACATGTATATGTAATGTTAAAAACCTGTTCGATTTATGACGGGCCTTACCTTATATTAGTCACTGTGCAAACTCCCAAACCGCACACTCGAACTAACCCTGAAGTAACCGCTAAGGGTCCAAAGGACCCACTAATTAGGCAGTGTTGAGGCCGATGTAATTACCAAGACGATTCCGTAGTGCCACTCTTATATTTATGCTGCGTGCACCATATCCCAAAGCCCTGGTCTAAGGCGCCTAATATATCGTGGCCTGAAAAATTACCTAAATTAGTTTGGGGGTTCCTGATTGTAATTATGGTATAATGGGCCCCAAAACCCTATTCTAATTCTGAAGGCCCCTATATTATGGCAAACAAAAAGCCCTCCAGCTCCTGACAACCCCGAATTCCGAAAGCCGAGGATTCCTACATCCGTGTGGCGTTGCATTCTGTTCAAGATCTCTCGCCGCCGCACGCCTGGGGTTTTAGTTCTTGTTGACTCGGACTTCTATGGCTGTGGTAGGGTTGGGTTTAGGGTTTCATTTAGAGTTTAGGATTTAATTAGGGGTTTAGGATTCAATTAGGGGTTTAGGGGCTTATGTAGGGTTTAGGGCCAGTTCAGGGTTTAGGCTGTGAGGGTTTAGCACTTCCGGTCTGGATTAAGCCTAATCCCTGATCCCCGTAGCTGCAAGAGAGCTGGGAGACATGAAGAGCCAGCATGCAATACGTAGTGCAGACCCCTTTGTCAATAACCGCATTGCTCTAATCGCGGAAGGGCGGTGCTATCTTTTACTCGGATCGCTATTCCATATCTCCTTATCACGGGAGGGGCGGCGGGGGGGTCTATTAATCAGGGACTCCAGGGACTCCACTACCAGACATGACTAGAGGGCAGGGTTTAGGGTTTAGAGTTTAGGGTTTAGGGTTTAGGGTTTAGGGTTTAGGGTTGACGCTCTTGAGGTCCGAAACCCGAACCTTGGAATGCTATACCTGGGCAAAACCCCCGAAACCCCCCCTTAAACCCGAAACCCTGAACCCTAAACCCTGAACCCTAAACCCTAAACCCTAAACCCGAAACCCTGAACCCTAAAGCCTGCACCCTAAACGGAAAGCCGAACACCGAGAATGTAAGGAAGGCATCGTCACCTCGGTCAATGACTGGTGCTGGACTTGACTCACAGCTGCTTCGGCGTGTTTAACGCTGGGGCAAGGCTTATGTGAGGGATACTGGTGGCTGTATATACGGCTCCTTGGGAATGCTAGTGGGTGCATCTTCGGGGGTTGTTTTTGGATGATCCTACGCCACATTCCTGGTGTTTGTACTGCTTGCACTCTTTGAGCCCTTAGCTAGGCAAGTATGCTCCTGCTCACACATCGTACGGCTTTGAGAGTGTTCAGTTTGTTAGGTCATTCTTCAGAACCCGCAAACCTGTTAAAGTTACCTGTATAGCGGCTATAGAACCATTCTTTGGGGTTTAGGGTTTAGTTATGTATGGGGGTTTCCGAAAATAGGGGACCCTAATGTAGCACCCCAAATAGTAGGATCCGTATTTTAAGGATTCCAGAATATGGTACCCTCTATTTTCGGAAACCCCCATGTTACAACTTAGCCGACAAGTTCGTTCGAGCTATTGAGGCCCCAGAAGGATGCTGTCACGCCGAAACGCCAAGCCAAGACCCTTACCCACCAAACCCAAATCCTTGTAGGCCTCCAGCCAAACCGCAAGCCCTATGAATCCCCCCTAAACCCTAAACCCTAAACCCTAGACCCTGAACCCTAAACCCTAAACCCTAAACCCTACACCTACTATAATCCCCAGGAATGGTCCTATAGTAGTGGAGGTCGCTGCAAGAATTTCGAAAGCTGCGCGATGGCGCCGACACGACCGTGCAGCAACCTGATGGACGGTTTGAGGTCGAGGGGTTCCTTTTTCAGGATCTATAAGGCTTCCATAAGGGGTCGATTTAGGGATTTGGGGTTTTGGAGTTTTGGGTGAAGGTTTTAAGTTTGGTTGTCTCACAGTGGTTCCATGGGTGTTGTCTCGGTTCCTAGGTGGGCAGCCTTTGTAGACAGGAAATAGGGTGTATGGGACATCTAGGGACTTTCGAATTCTCATCGCTCTTGCTGATGTTTATAACAGGCTTATACGGTCTTTCTTGGCATTCTAGGGGTACCTGGGTCCTTGTCGGATACAATTTTACATTTTTCTTATTATAAAACCCAATAAGGATCAAAAATGATCATTTTTGATAACGCCCCAACAGGGAACTAGGTACATACTTAAGGTTGTAGCGCACAGGGCAGGGTTGGGCCTCTTGCTTGAAAGCTACGGGCATCTTGCGGGGTCACTATAGGGGCCTGAATATTTAGAATAGGGTTTTGAGGTACCCCTAGTTAACTGCGCAGGTGCGGTGCGTGCGTGCCTTTATTATACCTATAAGAGAGGGAACCCTCAGAATAACGTTGGTAATTTTTCAGGTCCCTACATTACCTGTATTGTTGCTTCTAACTGCCAGCATGTAGACAGCAGGCCACAGAACGACATGATACGAAGGTTCGATCAGACAACACCTGGACCAAATCCCCCAAGCAGAACCTGTAGAACGCCAGATTAACCATATATACTTTGTCATAGAGTCATCGCCTTTCAATCTCCCTCAAGCCACTTTACATGCCCGTGAGCCGTGTGGAAGTCTACAACGCCTCACAGGGTCCTGAATCCTAGACCACCCTAGACCCTAGCCCTAAACCACCAAAATGAGAATCAGAGATCTTAGGCCCCGTAACCTTGTTACCCTAATTTACCCTAAGGGTCCATATGCCCAACTAGTATATGCTCTGGCCTTAATGAAATACCTATATTATATAGGTACTTTGGGGCCAAAGTATGTACTGTTTGGGTACATGAACCCTGAACACTTTGTTAAGATAGGGGCTTAAATAATTAACAAAGCAATTTGGGGGGGGGGCTCCTCATTATATCATAGTACAATATACTCCCAATCCCTATTCTAATGATTAGCAAGGCCCCTATATAACTCTAACAGTTTACTTCGTAAGAGTCCTGCTAAGCAAACGTGAGAAGTCTTACTCATAAGAACCCTTAAGTTGGAAAAGGGCGGGGGGGGGGGGGCTTAGCACCCCAAAATGCGGACCTAGTAAGGCCAGTTTAAGGAAGTATAAGTGCAGTCCCCTCCCCGTTATCCCCCTGAGGGTCCCTATGACTGATGCCCTCAACCCTAAGCCCTAAACCCCAAACCCCCAACTCCA